GAGGCAGGTTGCTTGCACTAGATAGTGATGTGAGCCTACATCTGCTCCTCTTCTTGACACGATCTTGTGTCAAGTGGGCTGCTTCTCCACTTGCTTTACATTGAGATGAAGTCGATCTGATTTTTAGTGTAGTGTGTCCTGGTGTCTGGTGAAATCCATGTCGCTCACTTTGTGGATATCCTTGTGCTTGAACACAGTACCTGACTCCAATCACCAAATCGTTGAATGCACAGAATTCTGCAAACAATTCTCCATTCTCATTCATTTCACCTAGCGCCTCTCGACCCATGGTTAGTTCTCTTCCCGTGTTGTCCACTCCCAGTTTGGCATTCATGTCACCCCACCCATTAGAATTTTGATATCGCCAAGTGAGGTCTTGTCCAGTGTTGATTGAAGTTGTCTGTAGAATTCCTCCTTTTTCTCTTGCTCTGCATTATTTGTAGGTGCATAGCATTGTATGATTGTGACCTTCCTTCCTTTTGAGTTGAATCTTGCTGTCATGATCCTGGAGGAGATTGGTTCTCACTGCATGAGAGCCTTCGATGCTCTTGCGGACATCATGATAGGCACTGGAAAACTGAGTGTGCTCGTGGTTGTCGTCTGTGTGACAGTGTCGGAGTAGATTATTGATTCTCCAGTTGACAGTTTGGAGAGTCTACTCTCATTCCATCTACTTTCGCAAATTCCTAGCACTTCAATGCTATACCTCTTCATCTCGTTTGCAATCTGGGCTGTCTTGGTGGGTTCAAACATCGTGCGGACATTCCATATTCCCACGTTTACTTTCGTTTTCATCAAGAGAAGACACATCGGCCAATTGGCTTCCCGAAGGCTTTCACCAACTGGCATCATTTCGCCTCTCCGATTCCAGCGAGGAATAATTTTGTTATTATTTTTTATATATTGTTTGTGCTTTGAAGTTTCTTTAGCGGTTAGATTTGTTTTACGGGGTAGGGTTACTAGCCCTATGCCCAACCTTCCCTCTTTACTTGGGCTTAGGACCGGCTAGTAACTAGTGAACTAGTTAACCAGGCGAGGTAGTATTGATTTTAACCGTCATACCAAGAGTAAGGTTTTTCCTTCTTTTTTTTGTTGTTCTATCCCTTCCTATTAACTTCATTCACCTTTTTCGTAAATTTTCACATAAATAGTTAGACAAGTCCATATGTGATCAGATTGTTCGAAATGTATAGCGCTAATACATCACACGATATATTTCAGATAATCTTCAGTCTTTTAATTACGCTACTGAAATTCATAAAAGGAATACTGTTTTCGAAATTTTATTTGAGTTGATCACTGAATTGATTAAATGAGAAAAGGGAAAAAAGAAACCACTTGTTAAAAATATACTCAGATATAATCTGAAGATTTTCTACCATTTTCAATTTCTTACAGTTATTCTTCTTTATGTTATACAATCCTGACATTAATCTTAACTGGTTTATTAACGCCTACAGTTATTGGTCTGAGTAAAGATTTATGTATATATGTGTGTTTGTGTACAAGTTTGCTAGATAGTATGAGAGTAGTTCATACTTAGTTCATAACACTTACAAAAATGAAATTCACGTTCAAGCTTTTTCATTCATCACTATCGATTGAATATTCTTTCTTTAAAAGTTGGAAACATTTGTTTCCCGATATAAATTTAAAACAAGTAACAAGTGTGAAAAAAAGCAGGATTTAATGAATTCAAATAAATTTCAGTAGTATTCGTCAGCTGGATACTCTACATTATTATTATTATTATTAGTCCCTTGGGTTCCTAATTGAACATACGGCTTCAGTAGCACGTCTCCAGTGAACTCTGTTCGCCGAAATCTTTTCAACCTGGCTCCACGACTGCCCACAAGCTCTCATTTCCTCCTCGCACCATCTCCTCCATGTAACCCCCACCACGGACACCCAACTCGTCGCTTCCCATGAGGATTCCACTCGAGTGCCCTGCCTGACGTGTGATGTCCCCAGTCGGTCTTCTCAGTGTATGCCCAATCCATCTCCATTTCCTCCCCCCCCCCCCGCATATTTATTGGGTGATAGGTTCTTGCTTCGTTGGTTCGTTGCCGGAATTCCTTGTTGCTTATTCTTATTATTCTGGCCATCTGATCTTCAGTAGCGAGCCAGTGTAGGCGGTAGTTGTTGATGAATGTCTGTAGTTTATTGGAAATCCCTTTCGTAACGCGCCAAGTCTCTGAACCATACAGATTATATATACTGTTAAGCAATGGAAAAGAGCATACATGCATACATACATATATAACGTAGACTGAGACAAATTTAGGTGTAACAACATAGAAGTGAATAGTTTTTACAGGTCAGTTGCATATTCAAGATTGTTGATATAGGGATGAGAAGTGAATCGATTGAGCGTCGATTACGTCATTGAAAACAAGATAGTTAATAGTACTTATACAGACAATAAGAAAACAAGGTGTATATTGTGATGAATAATGATGATAACATTGGCAATGGGAATAAGGTTAATTAGACGGAGTAAATCAGGGAAGGAAAACAAATATGAGATGAGTGATAATTAGTAGTGAAGAGTAAAATAAGAAAGATTAAATATGATTAGACAGTGTTGTAATTATTACCATGACAGATTCAGGGTGACTACCATTTCCTTCTGAATGCAAAGGTTTGGTTTGACAACTCGAATCATGCAGGCTTCTACATATCCAAACAACTTCTTATTTTGCTGTCTACTGATAACTTTAAAGGACTTATAGGTGTCAATATCATGTCCATAGTCCATTAGTTGCTTCGTTATCGACCTCCTCGGGGTCTTCTTTTCGGCATGCTTCAACCATTTAGGTATATGCTCAACCATTCGGGTGGACAGACGTCTCTCCGTACGACCAATGTATTTGCTTCCGCAGGTACATTTGAATTGATATATGCATTTAGATGTGTCGAGGATCGGAGTACTGTCTTTCCCTGATTGCCGCAATATCCTTTTGGTGGTGCTAAGAAGAACCAGTTTAGCTGCATAGTAAGTCCTTCTGATGGACTTCTCCAGTCTTCGTCTAACTACCTCTAGCACGTCGTCGCCTTTGAATGGCAAGGTGACATGGGCTGGTTTCTTCTGCACTGTTGGGGCCGTTGTTCTGCTCCCTACCCACTTCGCGTGCTTGTTGAAACAGCTTTCTGGGTACCCATTCTTCACCAGCACGCTTTTCATAGTCCCTATTTCATAGTCTAGTATACTGTTGGAACAAATCTTCCTGGCTCTGTTACACAGCGTTCTAACTACATTCACTTTATATTGGATTGGAACAAAGCTCCTGTGCATGAAAGTTTCCTATAGATGGGCCTTTCTATAGATCCATCGATTCTTTTCACTAATGAGACATCTAAGAAACTAATCATATTAATTTCCTCGTGCTCAATCGTAAAAGTCAGGTTTGGGTGATATGAATTGAAGCTCTTCAGTAGTGCTTCTGCCTCCGCTTTACTATTGCATACAATGAATATATCGTCCATATAGCGCTGGTACAGTTCCGTTTGACCAATAAAGCGCCTCAGGCTACTATTTTCCAGACTGGATAGAAATAAATCAGCGAAACGAGGACCCAGAGGGCTTCCCATTGTGACTCCATCGGTTTGGCGGAATAACTATCCGTTGAACTGGAACTGGATGTTCTTGGTGCATAGATTTAGAAGCTTTCTCAACTCACTTTTTGGGATAGGGATATTACCAGCTTCTCAACAGATTAACTCAATGGTTTCATCAACTGGTACATTTGTGAAGAGAGATACAACATCAAATGAAACAAGATGCTTACCAGTGCTATTGAAATCTGTGAGATTTCGAACAAATTGGAAGGTATCAGATACAGTGTGTTCTCCCAGAGGTTTGCATAATGGTTCAAGAAATCCGTATAACCACTGGACTACTTTATGACATGGTGAATTTATCATTGATAATATCAGCCTTAAAGGTACACCTGGCTTATGTATTTCCGCTAGCCCATATAACTTTGGGATATGTGATCCAATTGGTTTAATGCTTTTAAATGTGGTTTCGTCTTTGTGTTTAGCTTTGAGGAGCTGCATTAGTTGCTGTACTATCTGCTTTTCAGTATGTGATGTTTGGTCTTTAGCGTTACTATCCAATATGAATTTCGAGTTGTCAGAGAGATTCCATTGCTTAACGGTATATATAATCAAGTATGTAGAGTATCATCCAGCTGACGTGTACTACTGAAATTTAAGAATTCATTAAATCCTGCTTTTTTTCACACTTGTTGCTTGTTTTAAATATTCTTTCTGTTTCTTTTTTTGCTAACTTGCTTATTTACTTACTTTTTTCATCTTCATACGTATACCTTTTAATTCAATGAATCAATTTAAGTTAATTATTTAAAACAAAAGGTTTTCAAAGAATGTTTCCATGTCTCCTTAAGACTTTAAACAATAAAGAAAATCTTCTTATTTGTACTATACTGTCGTTGATTGAACCGGATTTAACGGTCTCTATTGGTATATGGCATCCTGTGCGGATGTCTCGATATACCTGTATTCTAGTTATAGTAAGGATGGGTAGTGCCTAGCTAGGGATCCATGATGCGTATTTCGACATATTTAGGACTCGTCAGCTGGATGTACTTGCTCACTGGTACTAAATCCAATCCATCTCCACTTCCTTCTGCTGCATATTTGTTTGGGCAATATGTTGTTGGTTGGTTCGTTGCCAGCCAGCCAGCCAGAGTTTCTTGTTGCTTATTCTTATTATTTTCGCCATCTGATCTCCATCTTTAGTATCGAGTGAGTGTAGGTGGCAGTTGCTCATGTATGTCTGTAATTTGTTGGAAATGCTTTTCGTGATGCAACAAGTCCCTCAGCCATCACATAGAAACACTAACTGACTTGACTGACATTAGCTTTGAGAATCCGGATGTTGTTCACGCTTTATGCTGAGTGGAGTGCAGTGCACTGCTGTAGATCTCCACACTGATTATTTGAGATAAATGAAGGCCTGTCTTACTGTCTTTCGGATCCAGGCTGCTTTGACATCCTCATCTGTGCCACCTATAGTTGAGAGGATGCTGCCATGGTGGGTAGGTAAAACAGACAACTCCCATTAGATTTATCCCACTGATGATGATCGGTGCTTGTTGTTGGTTGGTTGATTGGGTATCTTCATCACCTCCGTCTTCCTTACGTTCACCTGAAGGAAGTCCAAACTTCCTTCGCTACCTCGCCTCACCTCACCTCTTCCGCCAACTTGTTAGTTTTCGCCTGCAGATTTCCGAGTTTGTGCGACAAGGGATTGAACAAAAACCATCATTGGCAAAATGCAAATGTTCAACGGTCTTTTCATTGGTCGAGTCAGCGTATGCCCCTCTTCTCGCTCGCCACGGTTTGCTGCATGCTCCAGTCGACCAGAATCAGGAAGATGATCGGTGATGATAGTAGGCGGCAACTTTGTCTTACTCCTGTTCACTGTCTTCACTTCAAAGGCGGTATTGAGCTTTCCATTTTGAACCACTTGGCATGCGGCATCACATCGCATATAGCTGCTGTTGAATGAGGTTGATAAAGGTTTGTGGCACTAAAAGCGTAAGGTTGAAGCGGCAGCTGCCTGCCAAATTACTTCTCAATCGACGCTGTCTAAGGCCTTTTCAAAATCGATGAAGTTGAAGTTGAGTTGACTGGCATTCTATGCTTTGTTCTATTATAATGCATAGCGTTGCAATTTAATCCGAACATGACTTGTTTTTCCTGGATCCAGCCAGCCTGTTCCCGTCGTCATTTTGAGTCGAGAGCCTTGTTTAGTCTCTCAAGAGATGGATATCGTGAATTTCTAATGCGAAGCCATGAATTTTAGGGTAAACTAGATGAGAATGAAATAGATGCCATATGAAGACCTTTGGTGATAGTCGCGTTATATCGAGAACTTACAGTAGTAAGGAATGTGGAACAATGATCTGCAACCCATCGGCTGAATAATTAACACATTCGCTATGAAACCCGAAGGTCTTGTGTTCAGTCTGTGGTGGGATGGGACCGTGAGTGGGTACTTCTAAGGTGTCTCATACTAGGACAAACCAGCTGTCCAGTGCTTCCAAAATTTCAGCGGTCCTCCAGACGATGTCAGTCAGTGACGAATGTTGCCTTAAATTTATATTTATATATATATATATATATATATATATATATATATATATATATGCAGGAAGCCAACACACACTGATCAAATCCTCAATTCCAGTAGCAATAACCCAACACCGCACAAAATCAGTTGCGTGCAGACTCTTTTCAAAAGAGCGAGGATATAATGCTGTACAAAAACTTCACGGAGAAACAAAGATGATTACTTCATGTTTATCCTAAAGCACAACGCTATTCATGAAACTTTATCAGAAGATGCCAATCCCATCCATCATCAACTACTAAGCCATCGACAGAAATCAACAAACTGATCATCCTAACAAGCACAAAGAATATATCAGAAATCATGACTAGATTACTGAGACCACTTAGAATTGCTGCAGATCATAAACCAACAAATTCCCTGCAACAACTAAAGGAGACAGACCGAATATCATTTACAAAATCAACCGCAATGACTGTAGTCAAGACTAAATTGGACAAAGTGGTCACCCTCTTCTCCTTCATCCACATGAACTCTAACTGGCTATTAAACGTCACGACATTTCATCACTCATCACTTAATACACGTGGATGACAACTATGGAGATGAATTTAATTTCGACAATGTAGAAATTTTGTATGGAGAGGGGAAAGACAAAGAATATCAAAGAATTCCTAGAAGCTTGTCATTCAGATGAGTCGGTCAGTGAGTCAGCAATCAATAGATGTATCGGCAGACATAGACCGAATCTATCAAGCAATGAGAAAAATGGTGAAGGACAGAAGAAAGGTGAGAGGTGAAACAGAGGGACAGGCAACAGGAAAATCGAATCTATACAATCTGTCAATAACACAACAATGAATCACAAAGTAGTTTGTGAGGGTAAGCTACGAAATTACTGATGGAGAGGTATTGACAACTCACTTCACAGTGAGGTTAATGCTGATGATGTTGTGTATAAAGATGATGGAAGCTTCATGATTAGACAACCCAGCTCAGAGAACACAATACAACCATGACCATCTACCTGAGCTATATATATATATATATATATATATATATATATATATATATATATATATATATATATATATATATATATATATATATATATAGCACAATTTCATAGCCAATCTTATCTAATGATATATACACAATTTATTACTTTGTAGACTACAACGTGGTACATCCACTATAGAAGAACGAAATGTCAATGACAATGTTGGTGAATGTAAGTTGTTTAATGTGATTTTGTATATGTACACAACAAAATTGTGTACATAATGAAATTTCATAATTATAATTAACTTTTTTCCGTTCTCTTAAGGTAACTTATTAGTAGTACTTCTGTATTCAATCATTGTTTAAGGTTATTATCAAAGGAATTTCAATGAAATTATACATATAGTACATGTACTTTTTATTGCCTTATTGAGACATTCAATTTATCAATTATTCATACAGTTTAGTTGACATAATTATAGAAATATGTAGAGTAAATATTTTAATGCATGACTGATTTAATCACTGTGATATTTACGGTTTTAAACGTAGCCACCGGTACAGTTTCATTATCTGTTTAAGACAATCTTTTTTGTTCACTTTGGTATTTTAGACCAAGATATAATTATAGTGTTATTGTTTGTATTACACGTCGTTGATTGAACGAAATGATCAGTCTCTGTTGGCATATGGGCTCCTGTGTGGATACATCGATATTGTCAGTGATTTAGTTATGTATAGCAATGATACACCTAGTGTTTTCTTATTATGTCTGGATAAGTACTATTAACTATCTTGTTCTGTGAATGATGTGATGTACGCTCAATCGATTCAGTTCTCACCCTGTGTCAACATTACTATCATTATTATTACCATTATTTGCCTACCTATTATCCAAGCCCAGTTAACGATGTAATCTATTCCTGACTAATTCAATTTTGAACATCCATTTCTACCCTTTGTATGACCACTTGACCTGTAAACCCTGTTTACTTGTATGTTGTTACATCTAACTTCATATCTCAGTCTACGTTACATATACTAGTTGATGATTAAAGGTGAAATGAGAATTTGGATGGTGGTCGGATTCGAATCAGCGACCACGGGTAGAAATAATAGCCTGCCAAACTACGGCTATCTCACATAGTCAAATGATAATCAATAATAGTGTTATTGCTTGTATTACACCGTCGTTGATTGCACCGAAATGATCAGTCTCTGTTGGCATATGGGCTCCTGTGCGGATGCCTCGATATTACGTGTGTTTTTAATTATGTATAGTAATGATGTGTAGTGGGTAGCAGTGGAACACAGACAATATCGAGGCATCCGCACAGGAGCCTATATATCAATAGAGAGTGATCAATTTGGTCCAATCAACGACGGTGTCATACAACCAATAATACTAAAACTATACCCGTGGCATAGGAAATGGCTTTCATGGCTCGGTGGTGTGGTGGATAACGCTTTGGCGTTTGAAGCGATCGCTCCCGAGTCTGAATCCCGTTGGGAACAACATCACTTACTGGGATTCAGGTACATCCAGTTGACGAGTACCAAATAGGAAGAAATGCGCATCCTGGATACCACTGTTAATCACTGTCCATCATTACTATACAAAAGAATTTGATAGTTAAAAACGGTTTGTCAAGCATGTAAACATAAATAGTGTCAATCATGTAAGCTGTTAATTAATATCGAAAAAACGAAAAACTGATAAGTAGTGAATAATGATCAAAAGTTTGAACAAGATGTTTGGTAACATGATGACGATATAATTAGGAAGTGAATTGTGATCAGGCAGAGCAAAAAATAACTTAAGAAGTGAATAGTGTCAAAATAGAAATATGACAAGGAAAAGAGGAGGAGTTTAGAGGAGAAAGAACTAAAACCATGAAATAAGAAGTGGTTGAATAGAGTGACTTTAAAGGCCACCCTAGCAACTGTTGAGATTACCAATCAGGCTTCTAAGTTTTATGCGAAACTACCTTTCTAGCGGGAATACCGAAAATTGATTCGTTATAACAGACAGCTTTTAAATTTTTCGGTTGGATAATTTTCTTTTAAGTAAACAGTTCAGGTTTCGCCATATGGATGGCAAGAGCTTAGGTGATGCAGAGAATACGAAAACACAGCCTTTGAGAGGTTTCTTTCGGAGGGTTTGTGTTCACTGATAGTTCTGTTGCTAGGCTTCTGGTGGGATTTCTGGACCAGTTGCAGGTGCTGGTGGTCGACTCAATAGTTTTTTGAAATGGTCAGCCTATTGTTTCTTTTTTTTTCTCCCTTGGAGTGCTTGATATCCTCCTTCTTAGAGCGTCAGGGGCAGAATCACCTTTGTAGTTTAAATTCACATAAAGTTTCCTTTTTTGGCACGGTGGTAAGGTTCTGTTCATGAAATTTAGGCTTGATATTTTTGTCTACGAAGTGTAATGGGAATGCATTTTCAATCGGGATATTTTTTGATACAAAAATTTCCTCATCTAACATATCGGGACTGCAGATTCGTCTAATGTGAGTGGCAAAAGATATAAACAGAATTCGCTTACGACTCTTATGGATTGTACAGCTTTGAAAATGAAACTGTCGAAGAGATACTCATTACTGAAATAATTGTTTTCTTTTCATATCCTGATGGATAAATTTCATACAAGATATAATTATCAAACTGAACTGCCTGTACAAAATTCATGAATGTACAGGTAAGTCTGATCAAAAGCTGGTATCAACTAAGCAGTCAACACGTACTAAAGGGCGATGAGAAGTTGTTTTAGCCTTGTAGTCATGGTGAATAATTGCTAGGAGCGGAATTCAAGGCCCACGTTTTGTCTTATTTGGGATTCGTTAGCTGGATGTACCCACCTCCTGTGCCAGTAAGTGATGTTGTTTGCACAAGAATTCAAACCCAAGACCAATTGCTTCAAACGCCTATATTGAGATATAGGCTGCTATGTGGGTCCCTCGACAATGATCGGTTAGAAGCTACTGGTCATGGGTTTGAGGGGAACAAAATCATTTACTGGGAGGGAATTAAATCCAGCTGAGGAGTCCGAAATAGGAAAAAACGCACGTTGTCGACTCCACTGTTAGCCGCTATTCGTCATTCCTATCAAATATTTTAAAACTGTTTGAAAGTTTCTCATCTTTATGTATATTCCATCTCTTATAGTACTGTAGCTAAACTATCAGATATTTTGATAAGGATAATATTAGTTAACCACTGCACTACATTTACCAACTTCAATCATCTCACGAACGCTGTCAGCTGGGGATAAATGTTAAATAGTCTTCCCAACTACCAATCTTCTACAAGCACCTTTCTATCGGTAAAATTATGCTTCCACACGATTATACATACGGATTTAGTTAGTTTTTCGGTTAATCTCAAAACTTGCTTGCCATATGTGAATACATACAAGAAATTCCATGCCAACTTAGTATTTGTATTCATACAGAGCTCACCGATGGTCTTCCTGGTTGTGGTGGACTGCATCATGCAACAAACTGTAATGAGCGAGAAAGGGGGGACACGCTGGACCGCGGAAAAGATTCTAGAAGATTTGGATTTCGCCAACGATGACTTGTGTCTAATGTCACACAAACTTGAAAATCTGCAGGTGAAAACTAACAAGTTAACACAAGATGTGAGGCAGCGAAGACGGGACTTCCTTCAGATGAATGTAGAGAAGATAGAGGTGATGAAGATTCCCAACCAACTAACCAACAACGACAACAACAAGCATCAATCACTATCAACGGGAGCAACTTAAAGGAAGTAGTCTCTTTCACCTACATGACTGGGCAGCACCGTTTCAACTGTAGGTGGCACAGACGAGGACATCGAAGCCAGGATCGGAAAAGCAAGACAAGAGTTCATTAATCCGAAATCAGTGTGGAGATCTGCACTCAGCATAAAGCGTGAACAGCATCCGGATTTTGAACACCAATTCAATCAAGTCAGTGCTTCTTTGTGATGATTCAGAAACTTGGCGCGTTACGAAAGGCATTTCAAACAAACTACAGATATTCATCAACAACTGACGCCTGCGCTCACTTGATACTGACACTGAAGATCAGATGCCGAGAATAATAAGAATAAGCAACAAGGAACTCTGGCTGGCTGGCAACGAACCTACCAACAACCTATCACTCAACAAATATGCAGCAGAAGGAAGTGGAGATGGATTGGGCATACACTGAGAAGACCATTCGGTGACATCACGCGCCAGGCACTCGAGTGGAACCGAGATGGGCAACGAGTTGGGCGTCCCAGCTGAGAGTGACATGGAGGAGATCATGTGAGGAATAAATGAAAGGTTGTGGGCAGTGGTGGAGCCAGGTTCAAAAGACTGCAGAGAGGAAAGTGTAGTGGAGACGTGCTACTGAATCTGTATGTTCCACTAGGAATCCAAGGGACAAACAATAGTGATTCATATAGAGCAGGAGTGGAACTAATTCACAAAAATGTGGACTGATAAATGCTTAATGTCATAATGTAGTACACGTTGCTGATTATAATGGATATAATTAGCATATGTTGAGAGGGTGGCAGAAATCATATGGAATTACCTTTTGTGACTCCACTGCAGCTACTTCTGTACTCATCAGCTATCTGGTGACCTTGACCATCTCACTAATGTCTATGGATTGGGCTGCATTCATTAGTCATAACTGCTGGGCGATGGTATTCGGGACACTTTCGGTGAACTGTGCAGTCAGAAACTGCTTCTGGGAGTCCTATTCCAACGTGCGAAATGCTTGTCGGAGTAGTTTTGTCAAATTCACAGCCAATATCAGCGGATCTTCGTCTATTCCAAGTTTCGTTCTCCGGAACTCCTGCATTGCCAGCTCCCTGTCCGCTGGGCTGTAAACTTCACCTCCAGTCTTTCGACCATTCTCTCTTAAGTCGCCTTCCCATCCACACGTTCTATGCCGTCATATGCAGCTTTCCTCTACCCCTCAGCAACGTGCCAAGCACCACAACCTTCGCTCCTGGATCCTGGAAACCCGCCAGCTCTGCGACTGACTCGAAGTCCCTGAGGAAGACTTTGATGTCTCCATCCTTGGACACTGCAGACCACAAGACCTTCATCACGTCCAGAAACAGCGACACCAATTGAAAGAAAACAAGAAGACCGAGACGAAGGAAGGGATGTTCATTATTAACAAGTGGTATAGTAGTCGTTAAATATGGTACACCTTGCACTGTCTTTCATTTCCTCTTCTGCTTCTCTCTTCATTTTCTCTTCGTACGCCGGCGTTTTCTCTTGCATTCCCCTGGGCAGACTCCTTACCATTACTGGTGATTGCCTATAACTTCTGCCACCCTCTCAACATATACGATTTTATCCACTCTCATCAGCAACGCCCACAACAATAATACAAGGGAACTGTCCCCCTGTCTTCATTTTAGTAACTCGTTGTGGAATGCAGGATGTGTGTTGCGTCCTACTTGGGACTCATCAGCTGGATTTACCTGCACCCCAGTCAGTAATTTTACCACTAGGAATCAAACCCATTACCCATCTCTACAAACGCCAAAACGTTATCCATTGGGCCACTGGAGCAAGTAAAAATATGCTTATTATACTGTCAAAATGTTATGATAAGCTGTAGAATGAAAAAGGACAGGTACTTTCCTATTTTATATTGTTATTGATTTGGTAAACTAAAAGGGCTTAGGTGACAGGGATACGTACTACTATCATTGAACCCTTTAACAACTGGTATTTAAAATGTGACAAAAGGTGTCTCCATGTACATATAAAGGTTGTAAATGAATATGTGTTTCCCGAAGTAAGGAAAATATTTGTAATTTGCTTGATATGGACTAGATCGACAAGTTAGGTCCAGTACTACAGTAGAACATTACAAGTATCTATCAAGAAGCAACTGGTGATAACTGTTACACAATTGGTGATGGTCTCATGATTCTCTAGCCTAGTGACTAACACTTTGATATTTGTAGTGATGCATACTGAATTTAAGATCTCAGTACAAACACCATTACTCCCCGGGGGATGTAAGTACCTGTAGCTGACGACTCTGAAATAGGACGAAAAATGCGTCTTAGATTACCATTGCTCATCACTATCAATTTATACATAAACATCTAATTTCACAATGTTTAATTTACTACTCTTAAAAGTAATACTGAAATCAATCAATACCAGTTGTTATGTCATTTGTGTCTCACATCCGTTGTCTCACTCTCTTCTCAAACGATGCATTTTATTATTATTATTATTTGTCCTTAATGGAACATCCAGCTTCAGTAGGATGTCTCCATTCCACTCTCTTCTCTGCAGTCTTTTCAAGCTTGATCCACGACTGCCCACAAGCTGTCATTTCTTCCTCACACCATCTCATCCATGTCATCGTCAGCTGAGACGCCCAACTCATCGTTTTCCATCTGGATTCCACTCGATGCCCTGCCCTAGCCTGACGTGTGATGTCCCCAATCGGCCTTCTCAGTGTATGCCTAATCCATCTCCAGTCTCTTCTACTGCATAATTGTTGGATGATAGGTCTTAGTTGGTTCATTGCCAGGCCAAAGTTCCTTGTTGCTTATTCTTATTATTCTGATCACCTGATCCTCAGTATCAAGTGGGCGTAGGTGGCAGTTGTTGATGAATATCTGCAAATTTGTTGGAAATGCCTTTAGTAACGCTCCAAGTCTCTTAACCACAAACGATGTATTAGAAAACATTAATAGTTGATTTGTTGTTTCTTAATGAAATTCTAGTGATGAATTCTTTTTAACTTTTTTTTATTCCTCTGACTTATGTTATGAATAACAAAGATCCTATGAAATCATGTTTGTAAAACTTCATATTTTTCTACTTTTCTCTCTTTTTCTAGTTCATATATCTCATAGTTCTCCAAGTCATTTTTATTCAATGGATCCATATGAAGATGTAGAAAAAATGAATAAAGAAAAATTGAATTCATCACATAATCCTTCATATTATAGTACTCAATTACAACAATTAAAAGAAACTGGTGATTTAGAATTAGTTCGTGCTCATCTTAGCCTATCAGAAAGACGTCGACGAGAACTTGAAAGGCGTATCACTGAATTAACTGATGAATTAGCTCGTTCACGTGCTGAAGCTCGTTCAACTGAAACAAGTCTATCTGCTGCTCGTCGAACTGAAGCAGCATTAAGACGACGTCTACTTGTTGCTATGGATTCACGTAATTCACCAATTGGAAATTATGAAATGAATACATTACGTAATTCACATGAAATGACTACAGTTGGAAGTTCAGAAACATTGAATATTGTTGAATTACAAGCAGATGTAAGTGTTTCTTATGATGAATAGTTTTGATAATTAGTTCGATAGAAAACACTCATATATCTTCTTACTATCATTTACAGTTTATCTTTTTACAATGAAATAATTCATGTTGTTATTCATCATAGACTGACATCAGTTGGAGGAACGAAAGAAACCTAGGAGCACTGAACAACCAATTGTTTCCATTTTAGTATGGGACTCGTCAACAGTGCACACCAACGATCCCGTCCTCCAGGGATCAAACCCGCAGCCTTCAGGTCCCGTGGCCAGCACGTTACCATTAAGCTACTGGCTCAGTATCCGATGGTCCATATTTCCAACTTCTGTTAGCTCACGACATAATGCAATTGCCACTTAATATCATCGTTGAGTAACTGTCCTCACGACCATCAGGTTATACAGGCACCGGTGACGACTTCACATTGGAACTTCAGGAATACCTCTCGAAGCTGGTCATAATGAGCACCAGTTCAATTGAATTTTTGAGGGAGTTGTGGAGATTCGGAAATATTTCCTTTGCTCCTCCAAATGATGTCAGTCTATGATGAATAACAACTTGAATATTTCCAAATCTCCACAACTCCCTCGAAATAATTCATCTCTTAATGTAATATGTGAAATTCGAAAGCATGAAATGACCAAGTGGAAGTAGCTGACTAAAATAATCAATTTAGAACTTTACTAACCTGATAAGAAATTTTATTTCATTAGAACACAAACGTGATGCCGCAGTGACACTAAAAAATGCGCCATACAAAATAATATAACAACATTTTGAAGTTATAAAGCGAAGTGAAGTGCATAGAAAGAAAAATGTAATGAGAATAGAATGATTAGAAGGGCGGACAGTTCAGTAAACTACGTTCGAGGCGAAATATTCATTACCTTTCAGCAGCAGAAGAAAGCATGACCGCCACTGGTTTCCATATCTGATAACATCTGAAGCCACTGAGTTGTGTCATCGTTCGGACTTCAACCAGACAGTCGTGATGAACCAACAGATGCTAACCGGATACAAGTATCCTTCATCCAACCGTGCCAAATCATATACTGACCATACATTCGCTTCTTCCATCTAGTTACAAGGTTAGTAAACAATGGAAGCCGTTGGAAAGACATGCGTAACGCATGTTCAAGCCACAGATGCCAGATGACTTCATCTATTGAATGAAGATCTCCATCATGCGCAAACACACGCTGTCGTACCTCAGAATTACTTACGTGGTGTTGTCATCGGATATGAGCAATCTTTTGGAGACAACGATGATCAAACTCACTGAGTCTTCGCATATCCTCAGCTTGGAGAGGCCAGGTTTCACAGGCTTAGAGCAGAACTGTTCTGACCGAGGTTTCGTAAACCTGACCTTTTACGGTCAGACTAACATCGTGACATCGCGAAAAGGGTGGTCCAGATTGACGTATGCCACTCTGGCTTTCGATATGCAGTTGGAAATTTCACCAATCACACCTCCACCAACGCTTTCACAACTAACTACGCAGACACACGAACGTTTCGACTACTTCCAACGGCTCACTACCATGACTGACTGCTGGGACAAGCCCTTGCCAATCTTGCGAAAGTCCCTTGCACTTTAATAGTACAAAGCCCATACCATACTTAAGGACATTAATAAGACACTTGGACTAGATTACAACCTTATACTTCTTTAAGCCGCAAAAATCAGATCAGCCTGTGACAGCTTGACAAAACAAACACCATTTTAGTACAGTTTTCGTCAAGAATAAAAAGCCACTACGTCAGAAGTTGATTGGTCAGCTGAAGGATAAAATTATCCAATAAGGTTTTTCCTAAAATTTTACCGTAGAGCCTCATGACTTACAACGTTGATTTCGAATTAGGCCTTTTGCTATCAAAGCATATTTCATTTTTCTTGACTTTAATTCATGATTGCCGTGTTGAATTATAGGAGGTTATGGTTACTTGTCGGGAAAATGAATGATGCATTACAAGGAAACAATATTAACCATTTCATTCAGTTTAAAACATTTTAGCTTGCACCGAAAGAAGTTTATTCTAAATTATAAACTTATTTTCTGTTAATTTGAAGTCTGGCAAAGGTCAAATTTCTTAAATCAATACTGGCTGATTACTCAATATATTCATCTCTCCTTGGTGGCTATCAGTTGAATACAAGATGAGCGTGTCGTTCTATTCCGTACTCGTCAGCTGGATGTATGTGCACCTCAGTGCGGAGTGATGTTGTTCCCACTGAGACTGTAACCTAATACCCATCGCTTCAAATGAAGAAGCGATAGTCACCAGGCCACTGGGTCACGACATTCACTTATTTTGCTTGTGATCTCCTACTGCTATACTGGATCGAATTTCTCGACCTATGTTAACAGATAGTCTCCTATGGCGTTGCTCCAATACTGCCTGATTATTCATTATGTTGAATGTCTGCTTGATGGTTAGCAACAGAATCCAGGACACGCTAATGGAGATATTCATTAAGCCTAATATATGTTTTTTCGATGAGAATAGTGACATTACTGAAAAGTTATAAAGATAATTTAAAAATTAATTAGCAGTCAGGTGTTCTTGTATAGCTATGGTTGTGTTAAACCTCATCAGGATTTACGCCAAACCAAAACTTCGTTTCGAGAATGCACTGGAACCAAATCACTACACTTTGCTAACGAAATATGCTTTATTTTCATTTTGTGTATAAGCGAGCGGCTAAATATCAAGATACATTGTCGTATCTTATACCCTGTTCTATGATGATGCGTAGTGTTGCAATTTAATCTGCACATGATTTGTTCTTCCTGAAGCCAGCCTCTTCCAGTCGTAATTTTGAATCCAGAGCATCTTTTAGTCTCTCCAGGATGTTTCCTATTTTGTTCTGATGGCTGGCGTGAATATTTCCTTCGTAGTTTTGTACTTCAAATTCTAGGTGTTGAACTTAAACTGTGGTCTATCACCAACTTCCTCGACTTGAAGGCCTTCAACTTGATTTGGCAGGTGGGTTCCTTTCACTAGATATTTAGTAGTGTGAACCTATATCTGCTCCCCTTCTTGATCTTATCTTGTGATCAGTAGACTGCGTCTCCACTTTATTCAGATTGAAATGAAGTCGATCTGATTTTAAGTGTGTCCATCTGGTGAAGTCTATGTCGCTTTGGGAATATCATAGTGTGTTTGTACACACTGCCTCCAATCACCAAATAGTTGAATACGCGGAAATCTGCAAACAGTTCTCCGTTCTTATTCATCTCACCAAGTGCTTCTCGACCCATGATAGCTTCTCTTTCTGTGTTGTCTGCTTAGAGTTTGGCATTCATGTCACCCCACACATTAGAATTTCGATGTCACCAACTGAGGTTTTGTCCAGTGCTGATTGCAGTTGTCTGTAAAATTCCTCCTTCTTCCCTTCATCTGCATTATTTACAGGTGTGTAGCGTATCATCGTATGATTGTGACTTTCCTTCCTTTTTCTGTGCTCTTGGTTAACGTTTGGGTAACAATATCGGAGTAGATTATTGACTCTGCAGTTGACAGTTTGGAGAGTCCACTTCTATTCCATCTGCTTTCGCAGATTCTTAGCACTTCTATGCTATATCTTCTCATCTCTTTGGCAATCTGACAGATATCATTCTGATCAACACTCCTGGATTCCCTGGATGTTTGGATGGTACTATCAGGATCAATATTTTAGAAGTGTCACTTCAGTTGCACACAGTTCACATTAGACCTTAGATGAAAATTAAATCCATTTCTAGGTGTTCGGAAATTTTGTAACAATTTGCACCAGTTAAACTTTACATTTTTTAATGATTCAAGGCACTAATCTCATCCCTAAAGTATTCATGACACAGCAAAGATGATTGCTCACACCGACTAACCTTTGATATACGATAATTGCAGCTCAGGCGCTTGATCAAAGAAATGACCAACAGGAAGATAATATCAAGTCAATAATACGTCCATCAATGAGAACCACTAGACAGATACCACTTCATTAGAGTCAGCTAGTAAAATCATTCGCAAAGAAACCTTGATAGACCATTTCTTGTTAAAGTGAGTTCTCATGAACTTGTCTAGAAGCACGAGTGAAAGCTTTCACGATTAAATTATCTAACGTAGAAAATGACCTGATAGTTTTGTGTACTTTCATCGTCATCATCATCATCATCATCAATATCAGCATAGCACCAGGCATTACTGCGTAACACAATCCGAGTTGCCACACCTCATATCAGCACATCAAATAGAAAGATAATGAGGTGAAAGATGAAGATAAGAAAATTCAGTCAGAAGAAATATAAAGTACTGAAGGAGAGAAAAGAAGAATGAGAAAATGGTGAGATTCTGTACAGCATCGTTAAGATGAGGATAATGTGTGTGTGGATACATCTGCACAACTGACATCAACTCTCAGCCATATCATCTAGAGTGAGTCTGCAACCACTGGTTGCTCTTGTCCCACTGACCCCAACCACCTACTCTGCATCGCCCCACATGACTCAAACCAACAGTCAGAGACTTCATGCATTGATGCCATATTTCAGTGTAGCCACCTGAGACATTTTTCCTGCCCCAGCCTACTTAATGCAACATTGTGTGACGAGGGAATCGGTGACTAGGCGTACGTAGTACGTGTCCCAACAATCTCAGTCGATGAAGGTTCATGACCTCGTCAGCTGACTTACCTCTTCTCCCTAAAACTCTATGCCTGACTTCTTCACTACTCAAGTGGTGACACCATGGAATATGGCATATACTACGAAGGCAACGGTGGTCAGACACCTAAAGCCAGCCTTGTCATGTCTTCCACCTTCAATGGACATGTTTCACAGCTATAGAGTAGAGCGGAGTGGACTGCTGTGCAGTACACGCAACCCTTAATAGACAATCTGATATCGCGGCTGCGCCATAGGTGGTGTAATTTGGCGAAAGCCAATCGAGCCTTTTGTATCTGTGTAGAGATTTCATCGGGCACTGAGCCAGTCACCAGGTCTGATCCTACTTCCCAGGTAAGTGAAGTGGTTGACACACTCAACCACATTCTAAAACATTCTGAAATCCCTACTCAAAGTGTTCAGAAGACTCTGCATCTTGTCAGCGTGTACTTTGTGAATCTTAACTTATGCAAGAATTAATGCGGAGCCTAAATGACATCATGAATAAAATTATCTTTCAATTCTGAAGTTTTCTAGAATTTATTTATTGATTTCAAGTTCATATTCATCATGGATTAACATCAGTTGAAGAATCATTGAAAACCTTGAAGTATTACGTAGCTTTTTAATCATTTTATAGGACTCCTCAGACGTGCATATGCATGACTCCAACAGAGATCGAATCCAGAACCTTAAGATTTCATAATCAGCTTGTTATCATTCAATGATTCATATTTCCTAATTCTGTTACGATACAGCGCTACCTCCGTTCACAGTTATTTTTTCTCTCATGTACTACTGAAACTGCATTATTGATCTATTATGCTTTAAAGGTTATACTCGATAGTGTGTCCACATAACATGAACGTTTGTTAATCTGTTATATTTTTGTTACGATTACAATTCAGATTATTAAACTTCAAGCAACTAATGCTTCATTGAATGAAGCTGCTTTACTTGATCGATCAAGATTACATGATCAAGCTATGCGTATAGATCAGTTGGAATCAGAGCATAAAGGTCTACTTGATCGAATATCATGTCTTCAAGCAGCTGAAACTGGTGCACAACGTGGTATTGTTCGTTTACAGGTAAAAAGTATTTCCCTTCCTTTTATTTTTTTTATACTAGCCTTCAGATAAAAAATATGTTTAACGTTTAGAAGTAGTATTCATCATGGACTGACATCAGTTGGGGAACCATTGAAAATCTGGGAGCAATGGACAGCCATTTCGTCCTAGTATAGGACTCCTCAGCAGTACGCACCCAAGACCCGGCTGGAGGTCGAGCCCAGGACCTTCAGGTTTCACGGCGAAAGCGTTTAACGTTTGTTTTTTTATGTAGAATAAATTACTCTGTTATCCTTTGGAAATAAAGATTAGGAAGAAGACATGTATCAGCAAAGAAGAAGCATTTCTTTTCAACGACTTCATTATATCAAGCTGTACAGTCATTGTATTTATACTCGGTAAAATGACAGATAATTACACTAAAATGAAACTTGCTCAGTCAATATACATAACATACAAATTGTGTATGTAGTGGGATTTGTTCATGTGGAAGAAATAGAAAATGGATTACTGAATAAGGAGGATAAACTGATGACAAGTGGATGAGATAAGAGACAAGTGTTGTCAAAGAATTGTCAAACAGTGATAATTTAACTGAAACATGCGAGACAGGTCAATGAATAAGGAATGAACTGAAATATGGGTCAAATGTTGTCAATGAAGTACAAAAATGGTGATGAAGAGAATAAAAGAGAAGTATAGACCAAAGTGAAGTGAAATGAAATTGATGACATAACCAAAAGTGAATTGTTAAGGTCAAGGTAGGAGAAAGTGGTTTCATAAAACGTTTCTGAATGAAAAGTTTGGTTTTAATGTTCATGCATAGCTAATGCTTCAGCTATGCATAAATGGTGGAAACGTAAACCTCTGAAGTAGTTCAATTTAACTTTGTACATTATTTGGAGGTGCTGAGTGATCTAATTCAACAAGGTGTTGACATACGGGTGAAGTCGTTTTCCTTTGCTCGCCTCTGGTAAGCCAAATCGGGTAGTGTTCAGCAACACGTTTTCGGAGGACCCGCTTACAACGTGAAATATAGTCAGCTACATAGGAGCATATGAACTGGTAGGTACACACACAGATGTGGACATAAGTGGAAGCCTATGCTTCAGGCATTGAGGAATCAGACGGTGGCTGGAGAATATCAATCTGAGTTTAGCAGCATAGAAGCTACTATTGATACATGTTGACAGACGATTTTTCAGCACTTCGGCTGTGATGCCTCCTTTGAATTCTAGATTCATGGTTAAAGCTTTCTTAGGGACTGTAATGGGATGGGGAGTGGTTCGTTTCTTCAGATTCTTATCAATAAATCTTTTAGGGTATCCGTTATTAGATAGTGTTGTTCTAGCAGTTTCGACTTCATCATACAGCGTATCCTCTGAACATATTCTATAGATTGTGGAACACAGTGAGTGAATAAGATTTCTCTACAGCTGAGAGGTACCTAACTACTAAAGTTAGTGAACTTACGGTCCAGGAACTAGTTACATAGGGCGTAGAATTAGACAGATACGACTTTGGATACGAAAACGTTCACCGAATTAGTTATGAGTAAGTGAAATGAAAATGGCGAAAAGTTCCATCCTAGAGCACCTATTCAACTCAGGGGGGCGGGTCACATAGATGCTAACAAAGCTTTTAATGTCAAAAATGATACCACACGTAACCCGTTAACGCGTACTGAATGTAGCTGAGTCTGTTGCAAGAAGACTATTCTAACCAAGACTTTGTATTCAGAAGGAATATATTCAAACGCTATTCCTCCCTTTCCCTTCAATAAACTAAATGATCACTCCTGTCTTTTGATTCACCATGACATTCTTCTCATCTTAGAATGGATAGATAAACTGTAAGCGAAAACTTGATTTTCTTCATAGTCTCTAACTTTCATTCCATCTGATAAAATTTTATTGCAGAAGGTATTCTTTGTTCCTATTGTTTTTCCTCAAAAATATGATAATTTTGTATTCAGAGCATTGGCTTTACCTATATCACAAAAATATCTTTTTTTTCTCGTTTAAAACTGTCATCACTTATCATTTCAATATCTTTTCACGTGCACCCTTTTGTATCTTCACCGAAATGAATCATCATTTTCTCATTGTCAATGTTATGAGATTGTCCTAGTATACCAGATTCAATCCATAACATCATTATAACATTATGCCACACCCTTTTAGCAGGATAGCTAGCTGAGAAGCTTGGCATTCGGGTCAGTGAATCAACTGTCAATAGAAGTATAGATATAGACTCAGTCTATCAACCAATAAGAAAGATGATAAACGACAGAAAGGTCAGAGGTCAAGCAGAGGGATAGCCAACAGGAAAATCTATACAGTCTGTCAATGACACAACAATCAAAGGAAACAACCAATCACAGAGCAGTTCGTCAGAGCAAGCCACTAAATCACTCACGGAGAGATAATGACAGGTCACAATTCATACTGAAGTTAGTGCTGATGATGTCGCTGTCTAGAAAGACGATGAAAGCGTCTGTACGATTAAACAACCCAGCTAGCTCAGAGAACACAATACAACCAAGCAGTAGAACACTTCGATCTAATAAAACAACGGAGAATAACAAGTTTATCCATAAATAGCCTAAAAATGGAAACATTGCAAAGTACTAATCAATTTCATGTAAAAGTTCAAAGTTGTTTACTAAACTATTGTCAATTGTAAACAAATACAATTATTGACCTAATTTCTATGTTATAAAAGAAATAAAACTAAATTATCATAGAAATAAATTTTGAGGGAGTTGTGGAGATTTGGAAATATTTCATGTTGTTATTCATCGAAGACTGACATCAGTTGGAGGAACAAAGGAAACCTGGGAGCACTGGACAGCCGTTTCGTCCTAGTATGGGACTCCTCAGCAGTGCACACCCACGACTCCCTCAAAATTTAATTGAACTGGTGCTCATTGGTGACTAGCTTCGAGAAGTATTCCCGAAGTTCCAATGACAAGTCGTGACCGGTGGAGTCAAAGCCTGATGGCCGTGAGGACAGATACTCAACGATGACATTGGGTGGCGGTTTGCGTTATATCGTGAGCTAACAGAAGTTGGAAATATGGAGCATTGGATTCTGACCCAGTAGCTCAATGGTAACGCGCTGGTCGCGGAACCTGAAATTCGCTGGTTCGGTCCCTGCTGGTAGGGTCGTGGGTGCGCACTGCTGAGGAGTCCCATACTAGGACGAAACGGCTTTCCAGTGCTCCCAGGTTTCCTTTGTTCCTCCAACTGATGTCAGTCTTCGATGAGTAACAACTTGAAATAGAAATAAATGATATAATCAACACAATTTTATAATCCAACTGATTTTCTTTTGGGTTAGAATTCACCATGGACTGACATCCATTGGGAGAATATTGGAAACCTGAGAGCATTGGACAGCTAGGACTCCTCAGCTGAGCTCACTGATGAACCCATTCTACCAGGGATCGAGCCCAGGACCTTCAGGTTCTATGATTCCATGGGACTTCTCCGCAAACCTTTAGGCACATTCATCTGATTGTTTATAGTTATTTATTGATTATTTATTGGTGGAAGATATACATCCCATCCAATTTGGAATTCGTCAACTGGATGTACGCGCTTCCCAATGAGAGAAACTCGTGGCCATTGCTTTCGACGTTAGGATGGAGGAATAATAGTGCAGTCATCGAGAAACTGACGGTCCAGAGCATGATCTTTCATCCGATCCTGTATATGTACAACTGAAGACTCTCATACTAGGAATTAATGGCTGTTCAGTGCCGTTAGATTTCCAGTAGTTCCCTCAACTTATTTGAATCAGTAGTTAAAACTTATTTGTATAAAATTGATAATGAAATTATTAAAACTAGTCAGAGATTTGTTCATTTTGATAATTATAATTCCCTGTTGCTCTACAAGGTTGAATTGTTCCACCTTTGCTGTTAGATATCTTCATACTGCAATCATATTTATAATGTTATATTCATCTTAGTGATTAGCAATGAAATCCAACAATAGATGATGTTCAGTGCATAAGTGTTAGGCCTCATACCTAAATGTCCTAGTGGATAACACTTTAGCGTTAGTATTGCAGTGCCAGTACATCCAGCTGATAAGTAGGTATCAAGTAGAACAAAATGCACGTCCTGACTCCGATTGTGAATTACTAAGATAAATACAACATCACGAATACACAGCAGTAAGAAGACATCCTTATATTAAGCGAGTTAAATAACACAGACAATTCGGCACATGATAAGCATACTAAATAAGGAAATTTGTCATAGACTATAATTCAACCATACCAAAATTATATTTAACCTGTCTTAAATTCATTTAAAGACATTCAAGAGAAAGAAGGAGAGAAATGAAGGGAGAGGGAGAGAAAAAAGACCCTAATATAACCAGTGGAATAACTATGGGATGCTCTCCAAGTTATCAAACTTGATTATCGGACATTTACCATCATGTTATGTGACTTCATCAGCATTTTCATAATAATAATAATAATCTCTTCATTCCAAACAACACGTATGATACAGTAAGAAATTCTCAATATGTAATATTTCAACAGATTTATTCCAAAAACACTAGTTTCTAAACAAAATGATTATAGTGCCTGAATAATGTTCATAATAACAATATCAAGGGTAATAATATGAAGCAAAAGGTTAGTGCTGGATTAGCATCCAATGTTGGTTCATTCAGCCAGTAGATGAATGTACCATTGGAGATAGATATCCAAAGAATAGAAATATGATATACTTTTGTGCATTCAAAATTCCATTATGACACTTTTTCTGCGTTTTATGATTACTTTGAAAAAAGACTAGTTCAGAACATTTTAAAAATTTATAGAGTAGGTGATATCTTTGAATATTTCCTGGAGCTGAATACACGAACACAAGAAGAGGCTTCATCATTCCTTTCGGTTCCTAGTGGAATATAAAGCTTCAGTAGCACGTCTCCATTCTACTCTGTTCTCTGCAGACTTTTCAACCTCGCTCCACGACTACCCACAAGCTTTCATTTCTTCCTCACACCATCTCCTCCATGTCACCATCGACTAGGACGCTCAACTAGTCGTTTCCCCTTCGGATTTCACTTGAGGGCCTGGCCAAACGCGTGATGTCCCCAGTCAACCTTCTCAGTGTATGCCTAATTCATCTCCGCTTTCTTGTCCTGCATATTTGTTGGGCGATAGGTTCTTGCTTCGTTGGTTCGTTCCCAGAGTTCTTTGTTGCCTATTCTTATCATTCTGGCCATCTGATCTTCAGTATTGAGTGAGCGTAGGTGGCAGCTGTTGATGATGCATGTCTGTAGTTTGTTGGAAATGCTTTCGTGACGCACCAAGTTTCTAAACCATCACATAGAAGCACTGACTTGACTGAATTGGTGTTGAAAAACCGGATCTTGTTCTTTATGGAAAATTGCATTAGTAGCCCAAAATTCAAGCAGGTCACCGAAGGTATATCTGTGGTTATGTAAACTTGTAACAGATCCTAATTCTTCAGCCATACCAAAATTATACTTAGGCTGTCTTAAGAGTTCACCATATATATATATATATATATATATATATATATATATATATATATATATATATATATATATATATATAATATAATATATATATATATATATATATATATATATATATATATATATGACCACCGTTACCTTCGCAGTAGATGCCATATTCCATGGTGTCACCACTTGAGTAGTGCAGAAGTCAGGTATAGAGTTTTAGGGAGAAGAGGCAAGTCAGCTGACGAGGTCATGAACCTTCATCGACTGAGATGGCTGGCTGGAACACGTGTTATGTATGCCTAGTCGCCGTTTACCCCGTTACACAATGTTGAATGAAGTAGGCTGAGGCAGGAAAAATGCCTGAGGTGGCTACACTGAAATATGGCATCAATGCATGAAGTCTCTGACTGTTGGTTTGAGTCATATGGGGCGATACAGATTAGGTGGTTGAGGTCAGTGGGACAAAAGCAACTAGTGGTTGCAGACTCACTCATGGTGATATGGTTAAGAACCGATTGTCAATGGTGCAGATGTATCCCCACACACACATTATCCTCATCTTAACAACACTATACCGATTCTCACCACTTTCTCATTCTTCCTTTCTTTCTTCTCATACTTTATATTTCTTTTGACTTCATTCTCTTATCTTCATCTTGCGCCTCACTGCCTTTTTTACTTGATGTACTGATATGAGGTATGGCAACTCGGATTGTGTTATGCAGTAATGCCTGGTCCTAGGTTGATATTGATGATCATAATAATGATGATAAGCATGAGTCAGATCTCTTGTTTGTTTTGTTTTTCTAAAATATTATCTCTATTGTTGTTAATGTTTTAGTCCCTAATGATTTTTATTACGATTAGAATATACGGAAATTATTAGAATAATTAATTTTATAATGATTCACTAGGTTAAAAATGGAATTTCTCATTTACTCAACTCATGATTCAACTTGTTTTTACATTTCCATCTTTCTATATGGTGTAAAAAATAGAAGGTGTAGCAGAGATTTATGCCAATGATAACTATTAAGTGAATGTATATTGTTTTAAATATATTCTCATTCCAATTTCTTTTCAACGCATTCATTGTATTTCAAGGAAGCTCATTCTAAAACTGTTTTTCATTTTTTATTATTATTTGTCTTGTGGACTCCTATGGAACATGGCGCTTCTGTAGCACATCTCCATTTCAATCTGTTCTGTGCAGTCTCCTTAACCTAGATCCACGGCTGCACAGAAGCTTTCATTTCTTCCTCACACAATCACCTCCATGTCACCCTCAGACACCCAACTCGTCGTTTCCCATCTGGGTTCCACTTGATGGCCTGGCCTGATGCATGATGTCCCCGGATGGTCTTCTCAGTGTATCCATCTCCAATCTCTTTTCCTGCATATTTGTTGGGCGATAGGTTCTTGTTTCGTTAGTTCGTTGACAGACCATAGTTCCTTGTTCCTTATTCTTATTATTCTCGCCATCTGATCTCCTTCTTCAATGTCAACTGAGCATAGGCGGCAGCTGTCCATGTGATGTATGTCTGCAGTTTGTTGGAAATGCTTTTCATAAGGCGCTAACTCTCACAGCCATCGCATAGAAGCACTGCCTGACTTGACTGAATTAGTGTTGAAGATCCGGATATTGTTCATGCTTTATACTGAGTGCAGTAGATCTCCACACTGACTAGTTCAGATTAATGAAGGGTTGTTTTGTTGTATCTCTTATCCTGGCTGCTTTGATATCCTCATCCTGATCTGTGCCTGTATCACTTATAGTTGAAACGATGCTGCCTCGGTTCGGTATTTTCATCACCTCTGTCTTCTCTACGTTTACATGAAGGAAGTCCCGTATTCTCTGCCCTCCCTCATTTACCAACTTGTTAATTTCAGCCTGTAGATTTTCTAGCTTGTGCGGCATTATACATAAGTCGGCGAAATCCAAACCTCTTAAGGTGTTTTCAGTGATCCAGCCAGCGTATGCCCCTCTTGTCACTCTTCACAGTTGTATGCTGTATGATCCAGTCGAATCGACCACAATCAGAAAGATCATCGGGATATTACGCAGCTTTATCTTACTCTTGTCTTCACTTCAGAGGTTTTGAGTGTTCTCATCTTATGATAATTTTTAACTAGCCTTTTAATCATCACTCCTTATGATGCTTGATTCAATTACCAAGCACAAAAAGAAAACTAATTTAACTAAGCCAAACGGGAAATGACTAGTTGGGAGTCGAAGGTTGGCATGAGGTGATTGTGTGAGGAAGAAATGAAAGCTTCTGCGTAGTTGGGGAGCCAGGTTGAAAAGACTGCAGAGAATAGAGTGAAATATCGACGTGCTACAGAAGCTCTATGTTTCACTAGGGACCCAAACAACAAATAATAATAATAATAATAATCATAATAGTGTTCTTTGAATAAAACGTAAGTTAGTGTGGACATTCACATATCAACTTTTCTATTCGTTTATTGTCTTTTCTTTTCTGTCCAATTTAACAGGCACTTTATGAAGATATGCTACGTGAATATTCTGAATCTCAACCATTCGAATTAACCAGTAGTCGTGAACGTGATCGTCAACGTAGTAGTTCACGTAGTTCTAGAGGTATTCATAATAATGATAATGGCAGGATTTATAAAGTATCGCATAGTTATGATGTAAGACAAATGGAACGACAAATCTCAGAACTTCAAGCTGTAAATGCTTCATTAAAACAATCGATATTGGATAACTCAATTGAGCTATCCAATGCAACATCTACTACAGTAAGTTATCAGATTACTTACTATTGTCGTAATATTTGAGTTTAGTTATCTGAAACTCTTACGTATGTATTTCTAATTTTACCAATCTTCTCCATAATTGTGATTATTATTTGTCATTGTCGTCATCATCAAGTTCGACATAGAACCAAGGATTCCTGCCTAACGATCTAGGTTGCCATAACTTACATCAGTACATCAAATAACAAGAAAATAAATGAAAGGTGAAGGAAGAGATAAAAATCGATCAGGAGAAGTAGCAGTAGAAAGTAATAAAAGAGAGGAACGAGGCATGGAAAAATTATGAGATTAAGTATTTTAGTTAAGATGAGTATAATGTTGGTCTACATCTGCGCCACTGACATCGGTTGTCAGCCATGTCATCTGGAGTCTTCAACCACTGGTTTCTCTTGTCCTCTGGACCACAACCGGCTAGTATGCATCGCCCCATATGGCTCAAACCAACATCCATAGACTCATGGAATGATACCGTGTTTTAGTCTCGTCACCAGGATCCTTTTTCCAACATTGTATGAGGAGGTAGACGGTGGTTACGCATGCACGTAACACATGTCCCAGACACCTCAACTGACTTACCTCTCCTTCCTATGACTCTACACCTGACTTCTGCGTTACTCGCGTGATGACACCACGAAACACAACCTATGCTACGAAGGCAACGCTGGTCGAACACTGAAGCCTTCTTATGTCTTCTAACTTTAATTATCATCTTCCACAGCCATATAGTAGAAAGAACAGAGCGGAATGCATCACATTACCTTCCACCCTTAATAGACAATCGAATATCGCAGTGGCATCATCAATGGAGTAAGTTGGCAAAAGCCAAGCAAGCCTTTTGTATCTATGCAGAGGTTTTGTCGATTACTGAGCCAGCAGAGCTGATCTAACTTCCCAGGTAAATGAAGTATTCAACTCATTCAACTACTTCACTCTCTCTTGTTAGCCAGGGTATCGTTTAAGACCAGTCCTAGACGGGTGAGAAACTCATCTCAAACACTCTCAAATTGCCGCTCATGATGTCCGGCAGACTCTGTATCTTGTCAGTGTCTCCACCTAACAGGACTATATCATCTACGTGTTCGAGGTCAACCAAAAATTCCCTGATGATCAAGTCAATCCCTGTGTGGTTAGGTATAGAAGGACAAACTTTCACAAGAACGTCTATGATAAAACTTATTACGAATGAAGAGGGTAGGCATACTTGGCAGACACCACTCGACGTACGCAGCCCACTCGATATCTCACCATAGACACTAAAACGCACACAGGTGTTCGAGTAAACAGCGTTTAGTAAGGTTGATGTCATTACTCAGTACCCCATTCAGCGAGAGATATTGCGAGGTTAAGAAACACAACTATTGTCAGGTATTGGTAAGCGTGCTTGTGTTTGTCATTTATTTGTTTATTTCTGCATGAAAGCATAAATCTTATCTAGGTGTAGATACATATAAATTTCTTCATAAAACTTCCAGAATTTTCAATGAATTTATAAAAATGAAATAGCACGTAACTAGGATAATCAATTTGCTAATAATCTAATGTAGCCGTAATTTAGCAGACTAGTATTTGTACTGTACACGGTGATCGTTGGTTCGAATCCAGCCACTGTCGAGATTTTCATCTCACCTTTAATCATCACCCAGTAGAAATTACAGAAATTGGAAAATGCAGACCATTAGAATTCGACCCAGTGGAGCTGTATAATAAAGCGTATACTACGAAATTTGATGGTCCCTAGCCAGATACTGTCAGGGTTTATGGATGTACGCTGCTAAGGCACTCCAGACTGGAACCTAATACCTATCCAGTGCTCATAAGCTATAGATGGTTCTCCAAGTGATATTACTCTGTGAGGAATAATACCTTGAAACCGACCAATTCATACAAATTACTAACTGAATTAAATAGGAAAGTTTGTTTAACTCTCTTTTCATATCATTTGTTTGGCGTTAACTTACAGCGAAACTCACAGTTTGCATGTTGTCTGATTTCGAACTCAGGTAATTGATGTACATACGTCCTAATGACTGATACTATTCTCATAGCAACTGAAAACCTAAAATTTCACCTCAATGGACTCCGGAGAGTTATATATTTACTTGATTACCTAATTCAAAAGGTCACCTCTTCTGTAACGGCCTCAGATAGGATGGTAAAATGTATCCTGGAACCATTTGGCTAACTGTCGGAATATAATTGACTGATAAAGTCAACGTAGAATCCCATGTATACAAGTGTATCACCTCAAGTCGCCATATTTCACAGTGGTAAACAATGAACAGATGGATAGAAAATGATTGATATCAAAATAGATAAAGTTATGTGACAGAATAAATAATCTGAAGGTAATGTTTAGTGCAGATATTCAATTTCCATAAGACGTCAAGGGGTGAATACATCTATACCATTGTGATCAATTTCCAGCCATGTCACCAAAAGTCCGCCACTTCTAATTCTCATCTCCTTGAGGACCCCAACAAAATAGTCTCCCAACACGGATCAAGCCAACAATCAGAGACTTCATCGACTAGTGTCACACATTGGTCTGGTCACCATAAACCCTATCCCATAGCACCTCCGTATAGGCTGTGATTCGGCTCAGTAGTGGTAACATCTCTGATTGCAACTAACTTCATGGCATGGGTTCGAACCTCAGATCAGATAGATAGAATTTGATCAGCACACAGGATTAGACAAGATAAAGTTGGTTATTTCTTAGTGATTAATTGATGCAAAAATTTCTTCTCCATCAACTAGACTGATGTGTCTATCTATCTGACTGAAATTTGTGTAAACACCTTAATTAGTTTATCTGACTTTTCTACCGATACATTGGTAAATTCTGTCTGAAAATTTATCAATCAATCAACACACTCTGTATTTTATCATATTTTTTCTAATAATCATTAGTGTCTGACAGGAATCAGTTCTTTTTTAAGAAAAAAATACAGCTAAATATCATGTCAATATGCCTATATTCCTCCTCTCAGTGATAGTGTGTATATTTCGGTGTGTGAAAGAGAGCTTAGTGCAATAAAATATGGTAGAATGATTGCATGAATAGGTATCATCTAACATCCATCCATCCATCCAGATCAACCTAGGACCAGGCATTACTGCATAACACAATCCGAGTTGCCACACCTCATATCAGTACATCAAGTAAAAAGGCAGTGAGGCGCAAGATGAAGATAAGAGAATGAAGTCAAAAGAAATATAAGTATGAAAAGAAGAAAGGAAGAATGAGAAAGTGGTGAGAATCGGTATAGTGTTGTTAAGATGAGGATAATGTGTGTGTGTGGATACATCTGCACCATTGACAATCGGTTCTTAACCATATCATCTAGAGTGAGTCTGCAACCACTTGTTGCTCTTGTCTCGCTGACCCCAACCATCTAATCTGTATCGTCCCACATGGCTCATCTAACAACTTTTAACTGAAACTATTCATTCAAGTATTTCAGTTAAACTTCCTCCCCTTTTTTTGTTGTTGTTTGAAGCTGTGATCACTAATAACAAAAATGACAATTTGTTGATATGCTCGTAATTCTCTGTTGTTTTATTGGAACAAATTGTTTGACCTTTGTTGGTATATGGGCTCGTATACGGATGTAACGATATTGCCTAAATGTTATTTATGGTAATTTACTTGGTTGTGGCTGGCAGAGGAATCTAGGATACGTTTCATCTATTTAGGACTCGTCAGCTGGATGTAACTGCACACCAGTGAGTGATATTGTTGTTGATGGAGGTCGAACAATTGGATACACTAAAACAACGGAAAATTACAGACATATCAACAAATAGTAATCACTAATACCCGTTGTACAAGGGACAGCTATCATGCCTTGAGTATAATAGTAACTCAGGCACCTAGTTTCCATTTAACATTTTACAAAAATCATCTATAATCTGATTGATAAGAGAAACTTCAACGAAGAAAATTTTCTTTTTGACGAATCATTTTCAACAGCTCTAAATAGTAATCATAATTACAACAGTATTGGCTAAATGGGTCAACTCAAGGTCATCAAAAATTGCTGATAAGATTGCTGTGAATAAACAAAAAGAAATCAATAAACTGTCTTAGGGAGATCATAACCAAGACCAAAATTAGAGATTGAATGTATCCTTCTTAAATACAAAGAGTAAACTCGTAATGCTGGATTACTAGAGCTTCTGTTGTGTTCAGGTGGTGAATACGCACTCACATTGAAATGTTTGCCTTCACTTTATAAACATGACTTTGAAATATGACTGTCGTAGAGCATAGTGACTAGAGATAAGCATATGCTCAATAATAGGACTGTTGAGAACTTCACACTGTCCTTCGAACAACCATTTAGCTGTCAACAGCTCGATTATTGAGCATATGGTTATCTCTAGTCACTGTGCTCTACGACAGTCATATTTCAAAGTCATGTTTATAAAGTGAAGGCAAACATTTCGAAGTGAGTGCGTATTCACCACCTGAACACAACAGAAGCTGTGGTGATCCATGATTACAACTTTATTCTTCGTCTTTAAGAAGGATACATTCAATCTCTAATGTTGTCTTAATCGTGATCTTCTAGCTGTTATTACCTTGTAACTTGATTGGCCGTTTTTGAGGTCCTTGTATATATATATATATATATATATATATATATATATATATTATATATTATATATATATATATATATATATATATATATTCAAAACTACGAGCACAACAGGCTCACAGGTCTCAGGAAGAACAAATTATGTGCTGATCAAATTCCAACGCTACGCAACATCATTTAACAGAGTATAGAATGGCAGTCAACTCAACTCAACTTCAACTTCATTGATTTTGAAAAGGCCTTCGACAGCGTCGACCGAGAAGTAATTTAGCAGGCAACTGCCGCTTTAACACTACGGAGTACCACAAACCTTTATCAAGCTCATTCAACAGCTATACGAAAATGCCATATGCCAAGTGGTTGACAATGGAAAGCTCAGTGATGCCTTTGAAGTGAAGACAGGTGACAGGAGTAAGACAGAGTTGCCACCCACTATCACCCATGATCTTCTTGATTGTGCTGCATTGGATCATGGAGCAGAGGACTATGAGGGGTGAGAAGGTGGACGTACGAGGACTGCACCGATGAAAAGACCCCAGAAGATTTGGATTTCACCGCTGATGATGATGATTTATGTCTAATGTCTTATGTCGCACAAATCCGAAGATCAGCAGGCGAAAACTAACTAGTTGACAGAAGAGGTGAGGCAGCGAAGACAGGACTTTCTTCAGGCGGATGTAGAGAAGATGGAGGTCATGAAGATATCCAACCAACAGCAGCATCAACAACAAGCACCAATTACCATTAACAGAAGGAACCTAAATGAAGTAGCCTCCTTCACCTACCCACAAAGGCAGCATCGTTTCAACTACAGGCAGCGGAACAGGCGAAAATGTCACGGCAGCCAGGATCGGAAAAGCAAGACAGGCCTACATTGATCTGAAATCATGTGGAGATCTACTGTACTCAGCACAAAGAACAAGATCCGGATTTTCAACACTAATTCCGTCAAGTCAATGCTACTATATAGTTTAGAAACTTGGCGCGTCACGGAAGCATTTCCAAAACTATAGACACTCATCAACAACTGCCTACGCTGGCTCGTTACTGAGGATTGAATAGCAATGAACCAACTAAGACCTATCATCCAACAAATATGCAGAAATGAGAGCTTGTGCGCAGTCATAGATCGAGGTTGAAAAGACTGCAGAGAAGAGAGCGGAGTGGAGGCATGCTACTGAAGCCGTATGTTCCACTAGAAACCCAAGGGGGAAAAATAATCATGCTTGTTGATTTATGTAACATTTACAATTGCTTAAATCAACTCATTTTGTTTTCTATTCTGATATTCACTGAACTACAACTTTCTTTTTTATCCTTAATACTTTTTAAAGATTCCAGTTGGTGTATGTCATTCCCCAGCTTGTACTGCTGTACGTAATCTTTTGAAAGCATTTCAAGATCGTTACAGTAATTTAATGAATCAGTATATGCAGAGTGAACAGCATACAATACTAACTAATGATTATCCATATGAAATGAATACTAATAATACTGAAGATAATAATAGTATAGTAATTAGAAAATCATCACAAACACCAGCTTTTATTGATGAATTACACAATCAGTTAACAAATCTATCATACTTACTGAATGAAAATATGCATAACAATAGACAAGAGATTAAAAATTATGAATTGAATGAACATGTCAATATGTGTCTACGCTTAATTGATTTATTGGACAATTGGATAAAATCTTGTTTAACAGAGAATGATATGGAAATTGCACATTTACGTTCAGTAATTATGAATTTGCATATGTCTACTACTCAATCGATTGAAGATCAACAGACAACTGTATTTACATCATCAGTAGTCAACCCGGCTAATGGTGATGATTATGAACAAAATAATAAACAAACAGTAAGTTCTCTGTTATTTTTTTGCTAAAAGTTTTTATGCTACTAACTAATTGTCAGTAGTTTAAATAGCACTGGTTTCAATTTAGTCATAATTTTTTTTACACTACCAGTCACATTAAGAATAAAGCGGAATAGGTTAGTACTCATGTTTTGGAAATCAGATTGTGAGTCAATAAACAAAGATAATGCACTTTACTGATTTAAATCCAGTGAGGATTTATGCTATTTTCAGAAATGACTATGGCGGGAGCCTTCTTTTCAAGAATTTGAAACAATTAGTCACTTATAAATTTTGATAATGTAATTAGAAGACGTAGGTTATCTGAAAACTATGGTGATGTATTAGTGCTATACATTTGGAACAATCTAATCATACATTTACTTGTTAAAACTCTTAACTTATCGTTGATAAGAGTCACAGGATTGATATTAAAACCGCCTTTACAATTTTGTATAGAAACTGTCAGGGGTGTTTACTCAAGTTTGTTGAGGTGCTAGCCATAAATGACCCCATTGTGTGTGCAAAAACAGTTTGTGCTTACGTTAAGCCTACCTTTTTAATGCTTATTTTATCTCATTACCAAGACTGTCTTCAAGTCTTATCTTATTTTTCTCCTTTCATTATCTTTCTTATTATTGAATTCCTTTATATCATACATATTTGTCCTTCCCCCACTTCCAGTTTTCATATAAAATGGACTTGTGACAAGTAAATGTGTGGGGGGTCAGACTGTTCAAAATGTATAGCGCTAATACATCACTATATATTCCAGATAATCTACGTCTTCTAATTAAATTATCCGAAAACGACTGTCTCTTTGTAGTGTGAACGTCGTAAATAATGATAATAATAATAGTAATAATAATAATAATAATAATATGTTTACTTTATTCTGCACCATAGTTATGTTTTATAGTACAGAATTCTCAGGGTGTGTTACTACATCAATTTACCCATTGTACAACACTTAAAACATTAACAATGCTGCTGTTTAACAATATATAATAAAGAATAACAAATAACAGGACTAGTGTTGTTGCTTGTATTACACCGTCGTTGATTCGACCGAATTGATCAGTCTCTCTTGGCATATGGGCTCCTGTGCGGATGCCTCGATATTGCCTGTGTATTAACTGTATGTAGTAATTATGGGTAGTGGCTAGCAGTGGAATCCAGGATGCCAATTTCATCCTGTTTGGGACTCGTCAGCTGGATGTACCTGAATCCTACTGAGTGATGTTGTTCCCACAGGGAGTGGGACTCGGGAGCAACCGCTTCAAACGCGAGAGCGTTATCCACTACACCACCGAGCCATGAAAGCCACTTCTTACGCGATGCGTATAGTTTTGTTGTTACTGCTTGTATGACACCGTCGTTGTTTGGACCGAATTGAAATGCGCATCCTGGATTCCACTGCTACCCACTGCCCATCATTATTATCAATAACAGGATTATTGAAAATGTTTAATAACTTCAGAAACATGATAAGTATTTGCTATTACGAAGCTGATTGATAAGACAATGTCTAACAAGATTTTTTTTCACACAATAAACAAGCTGAATAAGGTGGTATGGTTGAATTTTTGTATGTGGTTGTGCGTGTATAGAGTTTAATACATTTACTTCTTGTCTACCCAATGGACAGGCATATAGAGAGATGTGGAGGCAGAGGATGCTTGTCATCAGATAAAATATCATTTTTAGCCACAATGGTGTACAAGAGTTCAGATGCCGATGGAAAACCGCATTTATCAGCCTGGTTAGTGGTGTACTACTTAGTGTACTTACAACCTTCAAAATCCTATGCAATACAATGTCGTCTTTTTTCTGTAGTCCATGGAAGAATAATGAGGAAGAATAAGTAAGTACAGGTTAAGACACAGGAATTACCGAAACGTAGGAGTAGAGGCTGAGTTGTACCAGACGTCTGAGTTCCCTGATATAAAAGGTCAAGCGATGGATTTTCCTAGAAACCAGTAAGATATGAGGGGACCAAGAAAGATCAGAAGAAAGGCATAAGCCAAGATGGACCACGCTTACTACATTCTCTCTAACAGAGTTATCTATAAGACAAGATTTATGGGAATGAAGCAATATGCAAAGGTCTTTTTCATGTCTTAAGTTGAAGGTAACTATCTGATATTTGGAGGGATTTAGTGTGAGGGCATTTCAGTAACAACCTGTTAAACTGAGAACAATAAGAGGAGGAGACGATCGCCATGAATATTGTCAGGTCATTAGCATACTTAACAAACTTACCTTTAGTTGAAGTTGGTAAGTTATGCAAAAAGAAAGAGAAAAGGAAAGGAAAGGAGAAAGAACGTCACCTTGAGGCACACCGTCTGTATATGATGTACTGTCTTCTTAGATGTAAAAGAACTGCACCAACTAAGGTACTCCTTGTGAATTTGTAGGCAAATTGATTTGAATCTCTGAAAGCTTCCAAGAGAGGTTCAAGTGTACGAAGCAACAATTTTTCATTATTTTTAGGAATGGTGAGGTAATTATGATCGGTCAGAATTTCGCTTTAGTTGCAGTAGATATGGACTTAGGTACCGGAACTATTTTAATTTCTCTCCAAGCGTTTGGTACGTCTTTTCTAGTAAAATACTCATAACAAGTGTTTATAAGTGGATGGCATAGAATATTAGCACATTTAGTGAAAAGAATATCTGGCATGCTATCTGGTCTGGAGCACTGCGAAGGTTTTAATGATTTTAGGCTTTTGAATACCTCTGTTTCATTGAATTTCAGAAAATTGCATTCTGTTATGCATGAAGAACTTAGATAAGATAACATTCGCAGGTTTACTTATGAATGACTGGTTTAATGTAAACACACATTCGGTATAATGGTACATATCTGTACCCTGGTTTAGAAGTGTTTTCGGTAGTTTCATTACTTGCCAAACGGTAATTTTGATGATCTGAGTCTTTAGAATTGTTGACAAAGGGAACGCTTTTGGAAAGCGTGTGCTTTGTGCTACCGATAACTTTCCAAACGTATCTCGGAGCACTATCCTGCCTGCATGGTTGTCGAGGGGAGAATGTAAATCGATTAACAGTTCAATTCTTGAACATTTGGTCAACTCTGAACATATAGCTCGACCAGAATCCTCCTTCAGTGTCATTTATCGTTTCAGATGGAATAGTTCAAGAAGAGTTCGCCTTTGACAGTTTACACAGCTGAAGCACTGGCAATTCATCAATTCAAGCCTGATCTCTGAGTGTAAAAGAAACATGTTCAATCTCTTATCTTACCATGGTCTTAACACTTTCACAATCTTGTTTCGATTTCATTAGAGTTATTAGTTTACTGTTATTGTCACCCTCATTATGACCCTTGTCTCAATGTTTACCTTCTTTACATCTATCTATCAGGTGGACACTGAATATTCGCGTTTCTTATCTACCAACAATTTTCATCTCATCAAACTCCTTGCCTTCCTCGATATTTCTACTGTCTTAGGTTATTAAGCAACTACTTTACATTCTTGATTCCGGTTTCTTTTATCACTAGGTTAATGATGCAATTATACCCAATTTTTAGTAATAGGTTGTTTTATGTTTATGATATATGTAAATACGATTGTACAGCTATAGGAAATGGTATCGTAGAAAAGAAGGAATCTTTCTCTTCGCTGAGTTATCTCTCCTCTATGACTTTGCAACGAAATTATTTTCATTTATCGATGATTAGAATTAGTCATCTACAAGCGATAATTGTTAACACCTTGTTGACATCAGAACAAGAAAAGTATACGTTAAATAATGATCGTGAGCTAACAGATGTTGGAAATGTGGACCATTGGATTCTGACCCAGTGGCTCATGGTAACGCGCTGGTCGCGGAACCCGAAGGTGGCGGGTTCGATCCCTGGAGGGTGGAGTCTTGAGTGCGCACTGCTGAAGAGTCCCATACGAGGACGAAACAGCTGGCCGTCGAGTGCTCCCAGATTTCCTATGTTCCTCCAACTGATGTCAATCTATGATGAATAATAACTTTAAATGATAAAAAGCCTTTACAAACCTACTAGGGAATTTCATTCATATATCATTTGACATTGTCAATGAGTCAGATTCAATTTGAAACTATGAGATATCTCAATAAGCTATGAGAAACATCTTTTCTATCAATACTGGATGATGATTGAAGGTGAAATGGAAATTGACATCGCGGTCGGCTTCGAACCAATGGCTATCAGGTTACCATCGAAAGCAAAACCCTTAGTGATTAAAGTGAAATTCAAAAAATCTGGCCAATAACGGGTTGGATACCTGGTAGTCGCCAGTTCGAATCCGGCTGCGGTCCAAATCTTTATTTCACTTTCAATTATCACCCAGTATCAATAATAGTCAACCGAACTACGGTTACTATATTAAGTAGTCAAAATGATAACCTTGTCTATCGTCGTATGATGCTAGTCTTATACTGTTTATATTATAAGGTATATATATATATAAAGAGGATATCTATTATTCTGACAATGAATAACTTGTTTTATTTCTATCGAAAAATTATTTTCTACTTACAACATATTTATTAAAGTTATTCTATTTCGTCTTTTTTTTCTACTACAACGTAATTAGTTTTCTTGTTCAATCAGTTTGAGTAGAAAACAGGATCCAAGTAAATTTCTACTTCATGAACAAGAATTATTCAATTTAAGGGAGAGATTACGACTGGCTGAAGCTAAAATTCAAGTCAATGCCTTGATGCAAAATAGAGAGTTGCATTGACTATAAATTTAGTAAGTAAAATTATCTATGATATGATTAGTATACTTAGCATATGATTTCTTATTATCACATCTAATAGCAATAATCATAATAATAATAACCAATGTTTCAGGGAACATATTTGGGGATACACTGGACCAGGGAAAGATCCTTGAAGATTTGGATTTTGCCAATGACTTTTGTCTAATGTCACTCAATTTGAAGATCTATAGGCGAAATCCAACAAGTTGACAGAAGAAGCAGGGCAGCGAAAACGGGACTTCAAGTAAACGTAGAGAAGACAGAGGTGATGATGATATCCTACCACCACCACCACCAACAACAACAACAAACACCAATCGCCATCATCGTGAGAAACTTAAAGGAAGTAGTCTCTTTCACCTATCTAGGCAGTACTATTTCAACTACAGGTGATACAGACGAGGACGTCAAATCCAGCCAGGATCGGAAAGACAGCAAGACAGGCGTTCATTAACATCCGGATTTTTAACACCGACGTCACGTCAGTGCTTCTGTATGGCTCAGAGACTTGGCGGGTTACGAAAAGCATTTCCAACAAACTACAGACATTCATCAACAACTACCACCTACGCTGGCTCGTTATTGAAGCTCAGATGGCCAGAATAATAAGAATAAGCAATAATGAACTCTGGCAACGAACCAGTCGACAACTTATCGCTCAACAAATATGCGGTGGAAGGAAGTGGAGATGGATTGGGCAAACACTAATAAAACTACCCAAAGACATCACGCGTCAGGCTAGACCCTCGAGTGGAATCCAAATGGGAAACGACGAGTTGGGCGTCCCAGCTGAGGGTGACATGGAGGAGATCATGTGAGGAAGAAATGAGAGCTTCTGGACAGTCGTGGAGCCCGGTTCAAAAGACTGTAGGAAACAGAGTGAAATGGTAATTTGCTACTGAAGTCCTATGTTCCGCTAGGAACCCAAGGAATGAATAATAATAATAATAATAATAATAATAATAATAATAATAATAATAGAGAACATATTTGCTACTGTATGGAATCCTTGATATGTAATATTTCAACAAATTTACTCGCCATACAGTATTTTTAGTTGAAATGATTATGCCATCTTGGTGACTGACTGACTGAGAAAATCAACTTAGAACCATGGATATACGTGTATCGGCTGAAATTGTCACACTTCACAGAAAAAGGGAAGATAATCTCAGGGTAACAGTTACCGCAAGCATTCATGCTTCAGAAGATGTCAACGAGTGAATACATCTATGCCACTTTATTCTATTCTCAGCTATGTCTCTAAGAATCCTCAAACACTAATTCTTATCGTCTCAGCGATCCAAACCAGGCAATCCACATATCACCATGCAACTCAGGCCAACAGTCAAATATTTCGCGGACTGATGTCGTGTCTTGATCTGATCACACTGAATCCTCTTCCAACTTAATCCAACTTTCCCTAGCATGGCATGTTGTGATAGACAGTGGCTCAGCCTGCTTAGTACATGTACAAGCCATCTCTATCGGCTAAAGTTCGTAACCTCTGTAATCGATTTGTCTATCTTGCCTAGTAACTTTCACGTGACGTCAACATTGCTCACACGGTGATTCCACCAAATATAAGAAATACTCATAGACATTTCTGATCAGGAACCTGTAATCGCTTCATATCTTCTACCCTAAACAGCCATATCTAACAGCTGTTTAACAAGACAGAAGGGACTACAGTGCAATAGATTCATCGTCTGATAGATACTCGGATATCTCGCCAGCCGGCGCCACGGATAATGCAAGTTGGCGAATATCAAACGGGACTTCTATATACGTAGCATCTCTGTAGTGTTGATAATAACAGTAGTATAAGGCAATAGCATGTGAACGCCAGTTGTTGGTAGGTTACTGTCTAGTCTGAAGGATGAAATAAACAGAAAAACGTAAATTTAATGGTGGTGGTGTTAGGGGTTCATCCAACCAGCATGAAAGTTTGTGAAAATAGTAATAATCGCTTTATTCCAAACAATATGTATGACAGTATGAAACTTTCACTCCTAGAACAATACTTTGAGATGAAATGGTTGTTGTTAGTTGGTTGGAGGCAATCGGCAGGAAGCCCTGGACCTGGGTTTAGTGCTTTTCGGCATCGTCAGCAAGGCGTATCGCCACCCAGTGTTGTAGTCACCGACCTTACCACTGAGCTATTCGGGCCACGATTGACCTCCTGTAGGACTGGCTTACATGTATTGATTGATCACGGGAGTGCAACTAATTTCATGTTGTCTTGTCTTATGTGCAGAGCGAATCCTATCGATCACATTTACAATATGGTAACCAAGCTAGAAAGCTCAGCATCGTGGTACACACTAGTAGATGTTAGTTGGTTGGAGGCAATCAGCAGGAAGCCCTGAACCAGCAAGGCGTATCTGCAGCCTCAACGGATAGTTATTTTCATCGGAATGATGTTAATCATAACAGTATTCAAGGCAATAATATGAAATAGCCAACTGGTACAAAAATCTGCAACTCAAGTTTGTGCACTGAAAAGTTCATTTCTATATAACGTAACATTTTTACCTCTGCTTTGTTATTTATTGACTCGATAAACGAAGAGTTAGAAACAGTTTAAAAATGTGCCAGAGCACATGATACATTGAAAGGATATATTTAGATGATTAAAACAAATTGAAAGGAAAGAAGTTGATGAAAAATTGTTCAGTGGATAAATTTGGTAGGCCAAAGTTCAAGCAGGCCGCTCGAATCCAAGCTAAGTATTTCAACAATTGCAATATGATCTATCTTTTGTGCATTGGAAAGCCTATTATCCTCTGCCCAGACGTCTTCTCTACATTTTCTTTTTAAATAGCAAAGCTTCTGGTTGAAAACATTTTTAAAAAGGTACAAAAATACATAATAAGGTTTGAAGACATATTTGAATGAGTTTTGAGGGAGTTGTGGGGATTGGAAATACTTCAAGTTGTTATTCATCGTAGATTGACATCAGTCGGAGTAACAAGGAAACCTGGGAGCATTGGACAACTGTTTCGTCCTAGTATGGGACCCCTCAGCAGTGCGCACCCATGACCCTGCCCTCCAGGGATCAAACCTGTAGCCTTCAGGTTTCGTGGCCGACACGTTACCATTGATCCACTGGGTCCGAATCCAGTTGTCCATATTTCCAACTTCTGTTAGCTCACGATATAGTGGGGTTGTGGGTATGCACTGCTGGGGAGTCCCATACTAGGACGAAACAGCTGTCCAGTACTCAAAGATTTCCTTTGTTCATCTTGCTGATGTCAATCTACGATGAATAACAACTTGAAATATTTGAACGATTCAAGGTACTTGAAAGGGAGCAACTTGATGTGATATTTTCAATGGAAGCACTTTAGTAGATCAAAACTCTAACAGTGTCGATGATGATAGCATAGTAATAATGATGATTGACCTTGAGAGAGACTCAATCTGATAAAATACATCAGTATACCAACTGAAGTTAAAGATGCCATCTCATCCTCATAATGAAATGTCAGACATACTTTTCAGGTGGTTTTTATCCTGGTTGAACTATTGTCAGCTGATAAAACCAGAGAACATTGGGTAAATGTTTCTTTCTAACTTATAATTCTTGGGTATAGTTCACATCCCCTCGGTTAGTGTTTATTAATCGGTCAAAATTCAGTTATCCTCATTTTACAAATATAAATAATTTTCCGTGGGATTTTAGTGATGGATTGTGGCTAACTATGGAGTCTGGGATGGATGCTTCGTCTTCTTTTGAACTTGTCAGCTGGATGTACCTGCTTCTCAGTGAGTAATGTTGTTCCCACTGAGACGAACTCATTATTATTATTATTTTTTTTCCCTTGGGTTCCTAGTGGAACATAGGGCTTCACTAGCACGTCTCCATTGCACTATGTACTCTGCAGTCTTTTTGACCAGGCGCTACGACTGCCCACAAGCTTTCATTTCTTCTCTGCATATGATCTCATCCAAGTCATCCCCCACTGGGACGCCCAACTCGTTGTTTCTCCTTCGGATTCCACTTGAAAGCCTGGCCAAACTCGTGATTTCCACAATCGGACTTCTCAATGTATGCCCAATCCATCTCCATTTTCTTCTACTGCGTATTTGTTGGGTGATAGGTTCTTGTTTGATTGCTTCGTTTCCAGAGTTCCTTGTTCCCTATTCTCATTATTCTGGCCATCTGATCTAATCTTCAGTAACGAGCCAGCGTAGGCAGCAGCTGTTGATAAATGTCTGCAGTTTGTTGGAAATGCTTTTCGTGACACGCCAAGTCTAGGACTTCGAAACGAACTCAGGAACAACCATTTCAATTGCCAAAGCGTTATTCACTAGACAACCGAGCGACGATACCTACTCGTGTTGTGAAACAGGTAAAATATAGTTCTCATATAACATATGTATGTATGTCTCCGCGGTTGATTGGACCGAATTGACAGGCTACTTTTGATATATGGGATTCGATGCGGGTGCTTCCATAGTGCTGGTCAGTTCAGTCCAATCAAAGACAGAAACTTACCTACTGTGATATCAAAACTACGCTACTCCCACCAAAAAAGAAATAGCTATCTTGAGCCGGGAGCGTAGTGGTTAACGCTCTAGGGTTTGAGGCCATTCATTTAAGGCTTGATTCTTAGCAGGAACAACATCACTCACTGTGAGGCAGGTACTTGCAGCTGACGAGTCCAAAATAGGAAGAAACATACCAAGCGGATTCCACTGCCAGCCAAAGTTTCCATTATAAATATTGAAATTGAAAATGCGCATAGGAGCTTGTATGTCAATAGTGGACGATCGATTCGGTCCAATCTATGACGGAGATACAAAGTTTTCCCTGACCATTCATTATCAATTATGGTATGCTTACAAATCAAGCCTTCCGTCTATAAAACCCCATTGCTCGTGAACACTGAACTACTAGTCATTTCAGCAGTTATCTGATACTAAATAAATCTGTGACAGATAGGGCTTTATCATGACCATGGTTGAACGTACCTTCTTTTATTTACACGCATAACACTGGTTTAAACTTGTGGATGGCTAGTGCTTCATCTATACACACATGCCTTCCATTTTCTTGATGTTCAACTCCAAAGAACAGACAATAATTCACTTCATAGATCAATCTACACAAAGTTTACATGGAACGGATAATTGGTTAATTTTCAGAGTTCAGTCCCCGTATGGAGGAGGACCAGTAAGATATGTGTTGAGGAAACGGTTGACGGAGAACTGCAAATACTTTGACGAAGTCTAACGGAAAACGGGTTCCCACTCAGATTCATAGATAAGAACATGAAGCCAAAGAACCCAAGTGAATGAAGACATTTGGCACCGAAAAAGATTCCCCTGTTATATCTTGAATTCAAAACTGGATATTGCTGTGAAAATCCTTGAACAGAAGATACTTCACTGTCAACCTTTGGATAATTTTCTCCTTGAAGAAACTTTGTGGTCAATGTGCGAAAGACAAGCCGAGGCATTGTGTGACACCATTGTGTGTATACCAGTTTACTTGCTCTTGTGGAGCTGAGTACATCGGCCGTACTATTCGTTCGTGTTTACGAACACTATCTAACCTAGCTTGCAAAAGAAGAACGGAAATGCATCTTCATTTCGATAACAAAACACATTATAAAGTTAGGCCATTTAGCTCCTTTCTAGAGGTCATTGGCAAATCACTACTGATTTACAAAATGGACAGAAGGAGGATTTGTAAGGGCACATGGCATAGTAACACTTTCAGATCAGAATAAAAACTCTGGTCATCACTATCATCATTTCATCAGTTATAATTTAAGTAAGTTATCGACACCGTTATTATACACGATGTTAATCTTACAAACACCTAACCATTCACATAACAATAATAAAAGTCCAACACTCGAAGCTACGAATAATACTCTTTTGAATGAGTATTTTCATAAGGTTCTATAATTACAAAATACATTTGTACAACGCAAAATCAAGTAAGGTTAAAAGCAAATCTATTTTCAAAATGGATTAAGAGTTAGGAACTGTAAGATAATCGAATTTTCTCAATATTGGGATGATATATAAATGCAGATGGATGGCGTGATGATAAACGGAAAGACAACGAATAAAGAAAACGGAAGTGACCTTCAGTTTGCTGAAGTGAAGGTCAAGGGAGGAATAGCGTTTAAGCATAGTGAGTATATTCCTTCTGATTCTAAAGCCTATGATTTAATCTGTCTTGTTGTGATAACCTCAGTTGTGTTGAGTAGGCGTTGGAGATCTATATATCGTATTGTTTTAATGCATTATATATGATATTGAAAGCTTTTAAATCATCTGTATGATGCCTTTTGTCTAACAGAAGGGCTAGGAGGAAATATTTCACCAGTTTCAATTCACCTTCTCCAAACCAAGTCGGTAAATGCTCTATACAGTCCAGAGACTATAAAAACAGTTAAACTGATATATACGAGATGAAGAGTTAATATTAGGTAAGCTTTCCTTCAGTCTCGGACTGCGTGCTGGTCGACTACTGAAGGATATGTAAAATGGATATGCATAAAACATTATATTGACTGTTTTAGCTAGGTGCTATGAAAACAAGTCATTTGGAGCATCTTATTTCAGGTGTAATTACAAGGGGGGAAAAGGTTTCTTCTCCACTTGTTTAAGACTACTGTAAGTGCTATATATACACATGAATAATGTGATGATGACATTGTAACACAACACTTAGCTACAGCAATCAATAGAACGTTTTATGCAGGTCGTCTTTGCATATCTTTCAGTAGTCGGCCAACGCTCAATCCAACACTAAACGATACCTCATCTAATCTTAGCTCATTTCCCTTTGGAAAAAGTTACACAGAGCGTAGAATTAGACATATACGACCTTGGATACGAGAACATTTATTGACTTATTTGAGAGTAAGTGAAATAATAGTGCCGAAAACTTCCACCCTAACGCATCACATAGATGGTAATAAAGCTTTTAATTAACAAGAAGAAGACATGTATCAGCAAAGAAGAAGTACTTCTTTTCAACGATTTCATTATATCAAACTGTACAGTCATTGTATTTATAATCATTAAAATGACACATAATTACACAACATACAACTTGTGTATGTGGTGGTATTTGTTCATGTGGAAGAAATAGAAAATGGATTACTGAATAAGGAGGGATAAATTGATGACAAGTGGATGAGATAAGAGACAAGTGTTGTCAAAGAATTGTCAGTGATAATTTAACTGAAACATGCGAGACAGGTCAATGAATAAGGAATGGATTGAAATATGGGTCAAATGTTGTCAATGAAGTACAAAAATGGTGATGAAGAGAATAAAAGAGAAGTATAGACCAAAGTGAAGTGAAATGAAATTGATGACATAACCAAAAGTGAATTTTGAGGTCAAGGTAGGAGAAAGTGGTTTCATAAAACGTTTCTGAATGAAAAGCTTTGGTTTTAATGTTCATGCATAGCTAATGCTTCAGCTATGCATAAATGGTGGAAACGTAAACCTTTGAAGTAGTTCAATTTAACTTTGTACATTATTTGGAGGTGCTGAGTGATCTAATTCAACAAGGTGTTGACATACGGGTGAAGTCGTTTTCCTTTGCTCGCCTCTGGTAAGCCAAACGGGGTAGTGTTCAGCAACACGTTTTCGGAGGACCCGCTTACAACGTGAAGTATAGTCAGCTACACAGGAGCATATGAACTGGTAGGTACACACACAGATGTGGACATAAGTGGAAGACTATGCTTCAGGCATTGAGGAATCAGACGGTGGCTGGAGAATATCAATCTGAGTTTAGCAGCATAGAAGCTACTGTTGATACATGTTGACAGACGATTTTTCAGCACTTCGGCTGTGATGCCTCCTTTGAATTCTAGATTCATGGTTAAAGTTTTCTTAGGGACTGTAATGAGATGGGGAGTGTTCGTTTCTTCAGATTCTTATCAATAAATCTTTTAGGGTATCCGTTATTAGATAGTGTTGTTCTAGCTGTTTCGACTTCATCATACAGCGTATCCTCTGAACATATTCTATAGATTGTGGAACACAGTGAGTGAATAAGATTTCTGCTACAGCTGAGAGGTACCTAACTACTAAAGTTAGTGAACTTACGGTCCAGGAACTAGTTACATAGGGCGTAGAATTAGACAGATACGACTTTGGATACGAAAACGTTCACCGAATTAGTTATGAGTAAGTGAAATGAAAATGGTGAAAAGTTCCATCCTAGAGCACCTATTCGACTCAGGGGGGCGGGTCACATAGATGCTAACAAAGCTTTTAATGTCAAAAATGATACCACACGTAACCCGTTAACGCGTACTGAATGTAGCTGAGTCTGTTGCAAGAAGACTATTCTAACCAAGACTTTGTATTCAGAAGGAATATATTCAAACGCTATTCCTCCCTTTCCCTTCAATAAACTAAATGATCACTCCTGTCTTTTGATTCACCATGACATTCTTCTCATCTTAGAATGGATAGATAAACTGTAAGCGAAAACTTGATTTTCTTCATAGTCTCTAACTTTCATCCTACTTGGCCTATTTCGACGCTGAAGAACCCCACCTAAAATCTATGCATATTATTATTTATTACAGAAGAATATTTTGTAAATGAATCTTATGTTTTGTTTGTTTTTTTCTTTTCAACAGATTACTTCGAGTCAAATTTGATTGTTGCTTCGTTTTGTTTTTTTTACCGATTAGGAAATTTATGCAAAACTCTGATAATAATAATAATTGAGAAAAATTGTATCATTTTTCTCTTTAATGTATTATCTTTTCTTTTTTTCGATATCATAATCATTTTATAAGTTTTAGTTGGGTTTATTTTACTCCGAAAATTGATTTACATGAACAAGTAAACCAACTAAGCAACTAACCAACCAACCAACCAACACACACAAACACACACACGGATACATATGGGTTCATTGGGTTTACTTTATCTCTTTTTAAGCCTTTTCAATAGTTGCATAGTTTATGAATATAATTTTTTTTTCATTAAAGGAATCATTGTGATTATCAATGATAAGGTTATATAAATAACTAAAAGGAAGATAAAAATGAAATTAAATTTAAAAAAAACAAAACAAAATGACCTTTGTTTATTGTTCAGTTTATTATTTCATTGTTTTAATTCCTTTCTATTCAATATCAGTTAATAGGTATCCTTTATTCATAGTACATTGAATATTGTGAAATTTGTCAACAATTTTAATCATCATTACTGATTATTTATACTCTATTATCTTTTATTGTGTTATCAACTTGATTTCAATAGACTATTATATAAACTTGGAATACTTTTCAATGATGTTGTTGTTGTTGTTGTTGTTACTATGCATAATTGTTATGCTTTCGTATTTTCTTTCAAGTAGTATATTTCTCTTATGTGTTTGTCTCTTTTTAAAGGTATTTTTCGATTTTCTTCAGCATAACCTTCCTCCGTGTATGTGTGTGTGTGTGTGGTAAGTGTTCATCATTAGTAAAACTTTGCTTCTATTGTACGCAGCATTTATATACACATATATAAAAAAAAATATTAGTGTTATCCTGTTCTTGGTGTTAAATATTAACTAATATATAAATATATTACTTATTCATTATTTATCTTTATTGTTTCTAGCTTTCTCTAATCCACTTATCTTTGTATCAATATGATGAAATACATTGGTTTGATTTTAAC